GTCTGTCATAGTTGAAATATTCTGCCGTTTTGGTTAACAGTCTACAGATAGAATATTTTTGAAAGGAAAAGTGGAACAAAGGTTACTTAGTGACAAAGAATAAACAAGTTATATAAGAGGAAAAAATCTGTCAGAACATGTAGGCTGTTTTACAGTGAAGACATTTTTAAGACAATGAAAATTTGGGATGAAGATTTTTTTCTACTTAAAGATTTTTTTTCTGAGTGACCCACCAGAGTGGACTTCTCCAACAAGTTTAAGGTAGAATGTGCTAGATACTTTTAAAAAGCCATCTCCACCGTGACTGAACAAGGGCTTCACTTGATTATTTCACTGGTGGGAAATTAGCATGAATGAATACACGTGACAGTGCACTTTTATACTGGAAAACGCCAGTGGCTTGTGGCATGGCGGAGGGATGTGGCTGAAGTTTACTGCTACGCCAAGCATTATGCGCAGTAAAAGAAGCGAGTCGCAAAGGACCGAGTATATTTTAGGATTACATTTACAGGAACTGTCCTGAGGCAGCCAACCCAGAGAGATGGAGCGAGGATTCAGGTTCGTGAGGGGCAGGGTGGAGAGGAGCATGCAGAGTGAAGGCACCTGCTACAGGGTTTCTCGTTGGGGTGAGGAAACCCTCGGACATTGCAAAGTGGCGACGGCTGCACAGCTGGCAGCTACGGCCCAAATCACTGACTGGCTCAGGCTCAAGGAGTGAATTCTATGGTATGTGGATTGCGGGGGTCTCCAGGTGCGGTGCCCCCTTTGCGGACTCGGGTTCCTCGCCCCGGAGAACTCCGAGGAGCGCGCGCGCTTCGGCTCTTCCCACCCACGCAGGTGCTGCCCACAGAGACACGTTACCTGTAGGGGCCGATGGCCCCCGGGGCTTTGGCGGTGCTAATCACCCTTCTGATCAGGGACGACATCGCCGATCGTCTTTCTCTGGCGGCCGCTGGCGGAGAAGCAGCTCGGGATAGCGCGGCTCACTCAGATCCACCTGACTGACCGCACGGGCAGCCAGCCTCTCAGCCCCCTGGAGGGCTCACGTCGAGGCCGCATGCGTGCGCGCTCAGCCTTCTGGGAGTTGTAGTCCCGGCGCGACTCCGGGCCACGTGGAGGAAGCAGGCATCCTGACGCAGGCGCTCTTCGGCCCGCCTGTCGCGCATGTCGCCGCAGTGGGGCTGGCGGCAGAACCTTTTCGTTCTGACCCGGGAACCTCCTCGGCACATCTGGTAGGTAAGTCGAGAGGGCCCGTCAGAGTCGGCCAGTTTGTGTCTGGGGTGTGTTGGGGACAGCGCCCCTCCAAGCTCGAGCCAGACGCCCGTGCTCGGCCCCGGTCATCCTGCGCGTCCCCTCCTCTTCGCAGCCCGCGGGCCCCTGTTCCCCATCCCGAACCTTCTTCGGCCCCCGCGCTCGAGCTCGCTGCTTCTGCCATTGCCCGCCGCGTCTGCCAGCCTTGCGGGACGCGGTCGGGGAACGGGCCGGGGGTCCCGCCATCACGCCGCGCCCTGGCCGGTGTCCACCTTCCCCTGCTGCCTGCGCGTCCGCCTCTCGGGAATGCCGGGGCTTGGCCAGGTCTCCTCGGATCTGCACGCAGCCCTCGTCCTTTGCGATCCCTTCTCGTTCTCGCTCGCGGCGCCACGGCTGGTCTCCGTAGTCAGAGATACCTTGGCTCGGGACTTCTTCAGGTCCTGTTAACGTGGTGTTATGGGCGGTGTGCTTAGGGTCAGCGTGTAAGGCTTGAGCGCCTCATACACAGGGCACCCTGGGGATGCAGCCGTGAAGACGAGATCTCAGTTTGGTTGCTTCCAAGGTGTCACACAGGTGAACCCCTTTGATTCCACCATGCCCTCCTTACTGCTCACGTCTTGAGATTCCAGAACCTTCAGCTGTCTTTGATGTAGGACTTCGGTCTCCTAACTTGCTTGTACTCTGTTCCCATCCCAGTTGTCCAGAGTCCTTACTTGTGAACTCGCCCAGGAGATTCCTCCGTATGTGGATCCAAATTCCAGCTGAAATCCCACATTCTTATTTTTTCTTGCTGAGTCACACCCCCCCCTTCACCCCCCCCTTATCCAGTTTTTAAAAATTGTGCTAAACTGCAGATATTTTTTTAAAGATTTATTTTTATTATTTTTTTATTGGAAAGGCGGATATACAGAGAGGAGAGACAGAGAGGAAGATCTTCCTTCCTATGATTCACTCCCCAAGTGAGCACAACGGCCAGGAAGCACCCTGTGGGTGCGGGGTCCCAAGGACTTGGGCCATCCCTACTGCTCTTTTTCCAGGCCATTAGCATGGAAGTGGAGCAGCCAGGACACAAACTGGCACCTCTGGGGTTCAGGTGCTGCAGGCTGAGACCTTACTGTGCTGTGTCGTAGTCCTGACCCAGATTTCTTTGTGCATGATCTCATTCTGTCTTGTGCTTTAAGGATAATAAAAGGAGCCAGAGCCTGGCTTGTGTCCGGTAGCCTTGGGTGTGTGTGTCTCAGGTGGCGTAGAACCTGTCTCTGCTTGTTTCTTTATGTGTAAAGTGAGGACAGTGCCTCCCTGATTGAGATGTGAGGAGTAAATGAATAAAGTGGGTAGAATGGCACCTGGTACATATGAGATTCCAACATTTTGGGCGTCAAGTTCTCTGTTTCTTTCTCTCAATTCGAGAGGCAGAGAAAGACAGCCTCCAGCTTCTGATGCCAGCAATGACTCAGCTTGGGCCAAAGCAGGAGCCGGCAGCCCAATCTAATTCTCCCATGTAGTTGACCTCAGCCACTCAGCAGTACCAACCTGCTGCCCCCTTGGTGGGATTGATATTGGCAAGAAGCTGTATCCTTGGAGCAGGAGCTGGAAGTCAGACCTGGGCATTTTGGAATGGAACGCAGACATCTTAACTGCTAGAGCAAATGCTTGCTCCACATTGAGCTTGCAGTTGTGTTTAAAGACCTTTTAGAAGTCTGCTTGTAAAGTACTCACTGTTAGTTACCTAAAAAAGGATACATTCTTCTTCTTGTTTTTTTAAATATTTATTTACTTTTATTGGAAATACAGATTTTTTTTTTATAGAGAGGAGAGACGGATCTTCCATCTGCTGGTTCACTCCCCAAGTGGCCCCACAGCTGAGCTGAGCCAATCATAACTCAGGAGCTAGGAACTTCTTCCAGATCTCCCACATGGGTACAGGATCCCAAGGTTTTGGGCCATCCTCCACTGCTTTCCTGAGCCACAATTATGGAGCTGGATGGGAAGTGTAACAGTCAGGATACGAACTGGTGCCTGTAGGGATCCTGGCACCTGCAGGGCAAGGACATTAGCCTCTGGGCTACCGCCCCAGGCCCAAAGCTAAATTCTTTTTTAGAAAAGATTTATTTATTTTTATTGCAAAGTCAGATATACAGAGAGGAGGAGAGACAGAAAGAAGGATCTTCCATCTGCTGTTTCACTTCTCAAGTGGCTGCAACAACCAGAGCTGAGTCAGTTTTAAGCCAGGAGCCAGGAACCTCTTCTAGATCTCCCAGGCAGACGCAGGGTCCTAAAACCTTGGACCATCCTCAGCTGCTCTTCAAGGCCACAAGCAGGGAGATGGATGGGAAGTAGAGCAGCTGGGACATGAACCAGCACCCGTATGAGATGCTGGTGCTTGAACGTGGAGGATTAGCCGGTTGAAGCATTGTGGCAGCCACACTTTTTAGTCTTTATATTATGCTTAGGTCATATATGAGAGGATATTGCAATTGATAAAAGTTATGCATCTGATAAATAATTTTAATGATAATTGTATTTCAAAGTAGAAAATGGCGATTCAAACTGAATAAAAATAGGGGAGTTTTAAGTTTGAGAGAGAAAATACTGGGTAAGTCAATCAAACATTACTAGATTTCTATCATTTCACATCAAACTGTAATAAATTTTAAAATATAGGGGTTGGTGTTGTAGCTAAGCCTTCATCCGGGGTGCCGACTTTCCATGTGGGTGCCGGTTCATGTCTTGTGGCCTGGAAAAGCAAAGGAGGATGACATAAGTCCTTGGGCCTCCGCACTGTTGTGGGAGACCCAGAGAAAGCTCCTGACTTAGGATCGGCTCAGCTCTGGCCTTTGTGCTCAACTCTGTCTCTCCTTTTCTCTGTAACTCTGTCTTTCAAGTGAAAAGAAATCTTTCAAAATGCAGGTTGTCTCATCTCAGTAGCAGAAGTGAAAACATCGATCGTTTGTTAGCGGTTTTTCTAGCAGTTACCATTTCAAAATAGGATGCTTCATATTTCATTGATTCACAGCTCTTATTTTACCTAGGAATCAAGATAAAATGTAGTGACCAATTTTATTTTACTATTTTTAAACATTTATTTATTTTTATTGGAAAAGCAGATCAGATTTACAGAGAGAAGGCGAGATAGAGAAACATCTTCCATTCACTGGTTTGCCCCCCCACCCCCGCAAATGAAGCTGAGCCAGTACGGAGTAGAATCTCCCACGCAGGTGCAGGGTCCCAAGGCTTTGGGCTCTCTGCCATCCCTCTCCCAGGCTCTGAGCAGGGCGCTGGATGGAAAGTAGATCAGCTGGGATACAAATTGGTGCCCAGATGGGATCCCAGAGTTTGCAAGGTGAGGATTTAGTCCTTGAGCCCTTGTCCTGGGCCCTGGTTTTATTTTTTGTGGTGCCTTGTGCTCTTATCTCACCATTTTTCATTCTTCTGATGTATTTTGTGCAGTGTCAGCATCTGAGTATGATTTAATTATTTGGCAACATGAACTAGAAGGTACCAGCAGGATCTCTTCCATCAGTGAAGTTATTTTTTTCTTTTCTTGATTCAGGTCTTGTATTAATACAGATTCATAATTGCTTTGAAGTAACTGCCATGGATCAATGTCATATTTTTATATCAATCCACTCATAATAAATGTCTGTTTGCTAGGGAATGAGACTTCAACTTAGACATTCTTTAAATTTATTTTTGTTTTCAAATGGAAGTTTCCTCTCTTAATTCAATTTATTACCTTCTTTCCAGAAATGTCTAATGCAAAAGAAAGAAAACATGCTAAGAAAATGAGAAACCAGCCTACTAATGTGACTTTGTCCTCTGGCTTTTTGGCTGAGAGAGGCGCGAAGCATCAGATTGGAGGTGGGAAACTGTCCCAAGCTGAAATGCAAGGTAAAATAATGTATGATGGTCTCTTTGTTCCAGTTGAGACCAAACTGCTGCTGTTAGCTCTAAATAATAATTAAAAGCATAGAAATAATAAGAATGAATTAAATTCATTTTTCTCCAAGTTAGCAAATTTGAGTACTTGCTAAGCAAGTTTTTTGTTACTCCCAGGTCCATACTCTTGGAGTTTTGGGGGTCATTTGTGGGAGCACACAGAGCTGGTAAACATGGAGTTGCCCCTTGTGCCCATTTCCGTGAGGGTTCTCCCTGTGTTGTTGTTTGAGCTCCATGTGGGGATGGAGAGAGCAGAAGGGCAGTGCAGGCAGTTGCAGCTCTCACTAGGGCTTGAAGTGCAGCTGTGGGGCCTTCCTGCCAGGCACCTAGTGCTTCCAGGCTTTTGGAGAGAGTTGTTAGTACTTAAGATTAGGATCTATATAAGATTATCATATCTACGTGTTCTTCTGAGGAGCAGTGGTTAGTATTGTGAATAATAACCATGTGTATTTCAGAGTTGGTGTATTTTATTTCTACCCTAGCATCAATTATTATTAAATTACACTTCCATAATTCCCATGTGAAATATGGGACAGTTGAACTTCTGTGCCGATTCCAAAATCTCAGGAGGAGATGGGAAAAGATATCAGTTGTTCAGTGAGACGGCAGTAGAAAGTGCCAGCTAGAGCTGGTGGTCTAGAGCATTTTGGAATATTTAAAGAATAGTGTGCATCGGGTCTAATTGAATACATCTTAGGTTGTGGTTATTAGGACCTAGGTTGCGATCCATCAGTTGGTGCCTGTGTGCCGGGTGGTAAGCCCTTCAAATGTGTGAGCTCATCCAGACCTTGTAATGACAAGCTCTGCAGCTGCTTCCAGGTGATACTGGCTTCCGTAGTAATGCCGCGGTGGAGATAAGCAGGAACTCTGTAAAATGCTCCATAGATCTGTCCCCGTTCAGGCAGATTTGGATGTTTACCCTAAGGTCAGCATTGTGAGATTGGCCAGGTGTTTGACCAAGACTTTACTTTTAATCCTTGCTTTGATTTAGCCTAGTGGCTGTCATCTGGAGCTGATCGAAGCAGAATATACAGCATCATGTAGCTTAGATATTATTTAAGAGCATGGTTTTCAGGCTGCTATAACAAAATGCCCCCATGGGGCGTTAGTTCCCACAGTTGTGGAGGTTGGGAAATGAGGATCCAGCTTGGTGCCTGGGGAGGGCCTGCATCGGCTTTGTAGTGGTGCCTTCCCCACTGTGTCCGCCCATGACAGGAGCAGGAATCCTAGGGGGTTGTTCTTTGCAAGACACTCCTGCCGTTCTTGGGGTTATACCCATGTAACTAACTACCTCTCTGCTGCATGGCAGCCACTTGGGGTTGACTTTGAGCACCCAAATTTTGGGAGGGGGGATGCAAACTTCGGACTATAGCAGGAAGCTGTGGACATTGTTTTTCTCGTATCTGTTTATAACCAAGTTGGTTTATATGCCATACAGACACGATTGTCTCCTGTGCTGGCATCTTTCTTGGTGACCTCCCTCCTGGAGACCTGCCTCTTTCAAAAGAGATGGCAATAGCCACCTCATAGGGTGGCCGTAGGATTCACAAGCTAACCTGTGTTGTCAGCCAGATTTCATCCTTGTTTCCTGAGACAATAATGTTTCTTTTTATTCCCTACCGGAAACACACTAGAACCTCACTCTGGAACTGGACGACTGTGGCAAGCCAAAATGACCTCCCACTCACTGTCTGAGCCTGACGGGAACGAGCTGTGTTCTTCCAAAGTCATGTTGAAGAAGAAGGGAGGCTGGAAAGCCGGTCCTGAGGGCACCTCTCAGGAGATCCCCAAGTACATAACCGGTGGGTGTCAGGTGCAGGTGATGGCTGGCCCTGGTTTCTGGGCAGTCTTGTGTCCATAGATTGTCCTCCTCAGCCTCTCCCCTCTGCTTCCACCCTGGGTCTTACTCACTGCCAGCCTGCAGTTTGGTTATAGTTTCCTGGGCCTGGTGCATCTATCTCCCTTCTTGGGGTTCTCTTCTCTTACCCTCTCACAAGTGCTTACTTGCGAATTCTTCCTCTGAATTCCTGCCCCTTCCTTCTGTAAGTGTGCCATCTGTGCTCCTGGAGCACTGCTTTTTCCAGTGACAGAATCAAATGTCCTACATTCTGATGGCAACCAAGACCTTCTTGTTTTTTTTTTTTAAGAGATATTTATTTTTATTGGAAGGTTAGATTCATAATTCATAGAAAGAAGGAGAAATAGAGAGAAAGATCTGCCATCTGCTGGTTCACTCCCCAAGTGGCTGCAACGGCCAGAGCTGAGCTGATCTTAAGCCAGGAACCAGGAGCTTCTTCTGGATCTCCCACACAGGTGTGGGGCCCCATGGTTTTGGGCCGTCCTTGACTGCTTTCCCAGGCCACAAGCAGGAAGCTGGATGGGAAGTGGAGCAGCTGGGGCATGAACCAGCATCTACATGGGGTGCCAGTGCTTGCAAGTTGGAGGATTAACCAGTTGAGCCAATGTGCGGTTCCAACCAAGACCTTTCTTTTTAGGGCCTGTGTGAGGCTTTTCTGACCTCATTCTGTCATGTCCTCACCACTCCCGGCCCCTCTGTCACAGAAACCTGTTCCTGGGTATACACCCGAGATGGGCCCTCTGGTTCTGCTTTATGTCTCCCTGGAGGAATTCACTGGAATTTCCTTGGCACCCTGTTTAATCTTCCTAAGAAATTATATTTTAGTAAAGAAAACCAGTAATAGATACATATGACAATACTCCCAAATGTTCTGGAAAAAATGTGTTGACGAAATAAAATGCCTTTCCCATGCAGTTTTTGAAGCAACTTTGAATTTGGAAAAGGCAGAAAATATTAAGGGAATGTCAGAAGAACTGTTAACATTTTGTTTTTTCATTGTTTTCCCTGTGATTTTTGCACCTATAAATGGCTGTGACCATGTTTTACGTGTATATACCGCATGCATTTTTATTATATTGCATGAATTTTATGAAGACTCTTGTTTTAGACTCTGTAAAATTTTTAAATCCTATTTTTTTAGAGGTTTATCTGTTTGAAAGAGTTACATAGAGAGAGAGTGATGGAGAAAGAGATCTTTTATTCACTGATTCACTCCCCAGATGGCTACATCTGGCAGTACTGGGCCATACTGAAGCCAGGAGCCAGGAGCTTCACCCAGTCCTACAAGCCCAAGCACTTGGACCGTCTTGTGCTGCTTTTGCTAGGCGATTAGTGGGGACTGGATCAGACGTGGAGCAAGCTGGGACTTTGAACCAGTACTCATTTGGGATGCACACATTTCCTGTGGTGGCTTCACTTATAACAACATAATGCCAGCTCTGAAAATTTTTTCTCCTGATTATAACAAGTAAGCCTGAATTCTTGCTGGAAAATTAAACCGTTCTGCAGATAATACTTGTGTAGTGTTGCAGCTCAGCCAGAACTGCCGTTGGCATTCTTCTAAAAGGGTTTGGGGTGGTGGGGGACTTGCGAGCTTCTGTACTTCTAATCTGGCTCCCTTCTGAAATCCACCAAGAAGAACAACGTGGATTCAGGACTTGTTTTCAGCGATCCTCTGCTTGTCTTCAACAGCTTCTACTTTTGCCCAGGCACGGGCTGCTGAAATCAGTGCTATGCTAAAAGCCGTGACCCAGAAATCTTCTAATTCGCTGGTCTTCCAGACCCTACCCCGGCACATGAGACGGAGAGCCATGAGCCACAATGTCCGCCGCCTTCCTCGACGGTTACAGGAGATGGCGCAGAAAGAGGTGGGAGTTGTACTTGGTATCAGTGTGCAGGTTGGAGATGCTGGAAGAAATGGAGAAGTACTTGGCCTGATAGAGCTTCCCTGAGAGCCACAACAAAGCATGTGGCGGCGTGCTCTTGTGATGGTAGTGGTGGCAGAGGTGGCGTGTTTGATGCAGATGTCATTCAGTCCCTCCCTTGTGACTCTCAAGCACATTTACTGACAGCTGATGTTCGATGCATCATTTGGAACCCCCTGTCTTTTATACGTTTAAACTAAAATTATGCCCCTCTTACCAGATTAGTGCTTTCGTTTCTGTGATTAGAGATGTGGTTAGAAGTTTGAGGTTAGAAGGAAAAAAGTACATCATTCATGCCTACCTTTTGCCTTCTTTATTAGAGTTGAAAACTTGAACTTGCTTTTGGTTTTTTTTATATAAGTCTAATTTTGTTTTGATTTCACCAAAATTCTGGTGACTATTTAAGCTAGCCCTGCCTTTTTTTCCCCCCCTGCCCAATGGAACTGAACATATAGCACAACACATTTATTTTTTTTATATTTTATTTGAAGGGAAGAGATAGGCTGAAACCTCAAGCCCGTATTCTTCCAGGTCTTCCGTACGGTTGCAGGGACCTCAGTACTTGAATCATTACCTGCTGTCCTGTCATGTTCATCAGCGGGACGTTGGATTGAAAACAGAGTCGGGACTCAAACCCTGGCATCCTATGTGGCATCTTTTTTTCTTTTCTTTAAGATTTATTTACTTTTATTGGAAAGTCAGATATACAGAGAGGAGGAGAGACAGGAAGATCATCCATCTGATGGGTTACTCCCCAAGCAGCTGTAACGGCTGGAACTGCACCTATCCAAAACCAGGAGCCAGGAACTTCCTCTGGGTCTCCCACTCGGGTGCAGGGTCCCAAGGCTTTGGGTCATCCTTGACTGCTTTCCCAGGCCACAAGCAGGGAGCTGGATGGGAAACAGGGCCGCCGGGATTAGAACCAGCACCCATATGGGATCCTGATGTGTTCAAGGCGAGGACCTTAACTGCTATACTATCATACCAGGCCTCCTACATGGCATGGTAACCACAGTGCCAAATGCCTACCTTACCCTGCTACTCACTTCTGTTGATTCGGAATTTTTGAAAAAAATGATTATTTTCATTGGAAAGGCAGATCAGATTTATGGAAAGGAGAGACAAAAAAATTTTCTCTTCACTGCTTTACTCCCCAAATGGTCATTGTGGCCAGAGCTGAACTGATCTGAAGCCAGGAGCTTTTTCCGGGTCTGGCATGTGAGTGCAGGGTCCCAAGCTTTCGGGTCAACCTGTGCTTATTTCCCATGCCATAAACAGGGAGCTGGATGGGAAGCAGAGCACCCGGTACACAAACCAGTGCCCATATGGGATCTTGGCTTTTGCAAGGTGAGGATTTGGCCACTGAGTCATTTTGCCGGGCCCAAGTTTCTATTCTTTTTTTTTTTTTAAGATTTATTTTATTTTTATTGGAAAGGCGGATATACAGAGAGGAGAGACAGAGAGGAAGATCTTCCTTCTGATGATTCACTCCCCAAGCGGCCACAACGGCTGGAGCTGAGCCAATCCGAAGCCAGGAGCCTCTTCCAGGCCTCCCACGCAGGTGCAGGGACCCAAAGCTTTGGGCCATCCTCGGCTGCTTTCCCAGGCCACAGGCAGGGAGCTGGATGGGAAGCGGGGCTGGCGGGATTAGAACTGGTGCCCATATGGGATGCTGGGGCGTGCAAGGCGAGGACCTTAATCACTATGCCATCGTGCCGGGCCCCCAAACTTCTATTCTTAAGTGGCTCAGAAACCAATAAGAAAAAATATTTTCCCTATAAAAATTTAGCTTAGCTATAGGAGAGATTGAGAGTGAAAAATAACTTGTATTTTTTACTTTGTAGATTTCCTGGAAGAGCTGTTTCAAGCTGCTGGTGCTTGTCTGTATGGCCTAATTGAAATACACTCCATGGACTTTCTTACTGTTGTATTTTTGGTCTTAATTTTTTTGTTAAAGTGTTACAGGCTAAAGCAGCAAGAAGCCTTTGATTTATTCTCTCTTGTGCTCTAACGATAATAGTCACATTAAGGTCTGCTGCTGTGTTGACCCTTTTACAAGTATTCTAGTCAGAGTCCACATGATTAGTGATAAAACTGCTTCCTTTTTAGGTTTGCCTGACTAAAATACACGCTTTACATTGTGTCTACTTTAGATCAAGCTGGAAAATTAATCAAGCTTAATAAAGTCTTGCAAGTATTCCACTTATTCAAAAGTTGAGTGTTTGCATGCTTGACATTGAATTTTGCTCCAAGATGCTGACAAACTGGGATCTGTTTCTGTTTGTGAAACCATAGGCGGAGAAAGCTGTACATCAGAAAAAAGAACACTCGAAAACCAAATGCCACAAAGCGCGAAGATGTCACATAAACCGGGTGCTGGAATTTAACCGTAGACAAAAGAAGAACAGGTGGTTGGAGACTCACATCTGGCACGCCAAGCGGTTTCACATGGTCAAGAAGTGGGGCTACTGCCTGGGCGACAGGCCGACGGGGAAGAGCCACAGGGCCTGCTACCGGGCCATGACGAGCCGCTGTCTCCTGCAGGTGCGTTTGCTGTAGCCTTTCCTCTCTTCCCAGTTTAGCTTTTAAGAATAGTTTGTGATATGCAAAAGCCAAGTCTATGAGGTTATTAACCATTATTTTGTAAGCTTTCAAGTTTTTAAATTTTCATTTGATTGGAACAGAGGGAAAGAGAGAGAGAGAACCTTCCATTTGCAAATGCCTACAGCAGCCAGGTTGGAGCTAGGCAGAAGCAGGGAGCCAAGAACCCCATTTGGGTGTCCCATGGAGATCTGGAGGACCTTGATACTTGATCCTTGAGCCATTTTCTGCTACCTGCCAGTGTGCCTTAGCAGGTTGCATAATAGTTGGGGCACAAAGCAGGCACTCTGACATGGGCTTAGGGTGTCCCAAGTGAAGAATTCATCCTTGCACACGACAGCCCAGGTTGTCTATTTATAAATAACTACTGAGCCTGAGGCACTTGGCCAAACACTGAGTTAAAGCAGCCCAAAGTTAGCGGGTGAGAATGACATTAATAAAATTATTAGGGAGGGCCCAGTGCGATAGCCTAGTGGCTAGAGTCCTCACCTTGCATGCCCTAGGATCCCATATGGGCACCAGTTCTAATCCTGGCAGCTCCACTTCCCATCCAGTTCCCTGCTTGTGGCCTGGGAAAGCAGTGAAGGATGGACCAAAGCCTTAGGACCGTGCACTCGTGTAGGAGACTCGGAAGAAGCTCTTGTCTCCTGGCTTTGGATCATTGCAGCTCCAGCCATTGGCAGCCGCTTGGAGAGTGCATCATCAGATGGAAGATCTTCCTCTCTGTCTCTCTTCCTCTCTGTATATCCGCCTTTCCAATAAAAATAAATTAAAAAAGAATCAAAACTTAAAACTTTAAAAAATTTTTAAGTGAAGTGCATGATTGTCAGGGAAGAGTAAACAGTACGATAAGCAGGCATGTCTAGTGGAGGAGCAGGAAGGCTGCTCCTGGCTTTGTGCAGGTAGCGATCTCTGCTCTCAGTGTTTCTTGTGTAAGAGCAGATGGGACCTGGCTGCTTAGGTTGTTGGGAGCGCTGACATGATGAGCGTGAGCCATCACTGCTGCCTCGCAGGGTCTGCATTAGCAGGGAGCTGGAATGTAGAGCCCAGCATGAGTACCACTCCCAGATATTCCAATGTTGGAGGCAGACAGCTAATCTGCTAGGCTAATGCCCGCCGGGGAAGCTGTGGTTTCTACACCCTTTTGATTGGGAGCTAGATGCAGATTAAATCTTAATTAAGTGCAATCTTGGTTAAGTGCAGAATCATCTTGATTTCAGTTCAGGTTAGCCCAAGAATGTTTGCTGATGTAATGGGGGGGGATGGGTCTCAGGTTCTCCCTTACTGAGAAGCTTGCTTCAGCGGTTTGCTCTGCTTTGTGCTTCTAGAGAGTTTCTGATGTGGCTTTGGAAGTTTTCTGGAGGTGCATTCTTAAGTATTTAATTATGTGTCTTCATTTATGCAGGATTTATCCTACTACTGTTGTTTGGAGTTGAAGGGCAAAGAGGAAGAAATTCTAAAGGCGCTTTCTCAAATGTGTAGCGTGGACACAGGTAATCATTCCCAGCTGGGTCCTATATTTTGTGATCTACTCATCTCATGAACAAATATCTGCTGGAAGTATTTCAGAACTTCAAATAGATTAAAAACAGGTAAGATAGTTCTTGTTCCCAGAGAACACATTAAGAAAAGTTGGGGTGGATGTGAATCGTGTGTAGCATCGCCAAGGGTAAGGTAGGAGAGTCGGTACTCTGACGGACTGATGAAGATTCTTCCTTAGTTGGGAAGAAGCTTCAAACCCTCATTAAGTTAATGCATCTGATTCTCACCCACTTCTTAGTATTTGTTGAGAACTCAGGGTGCCAGGCTTTCCTCCAAGCAGTGACCCCAGCAAAGCCTTGCCTGCTGTGGGGACAGTGGACGGCAGTGTGGGTCTCAGGATGTTCTCCGATTCCTTGGAGATCATGCAATTTTGCTTTTGTTTGTGGCAGGACTCACCTTTGCAGCAGTTCACTGCTTATCCGGAAAGCGCCAGGGAAGCCTCCTGCTTTACCGGGCAAATAAATATCCCAGACAGGTGCTTGGGCCTGCTACATTCATTTGGAAATCAGAGATGAGCCCCGGTGACCTTGCCACGTGTCGGCAGTTGTGGATCTGGCTTCATCCATCTCTGAAACAGGTATCGCCTCTGGGCCGGCTTACCTGACCTGTTCGAAGTCAGTACCAGAAGAACATAAATGGTGTGGATGTAAGACAGTTTTGTGTTAGAGCACAGAGGGGAAGTTGTGTGGATCCTGAAGGAGACAGTATCCTGGAAGGAGGCCAGAATATTTCGTTGATGCGTTTGCAGGCTGGGGGAACTTGAAGATGCACTGACACTGGATAAAATCCCAGGTCTTCAGCTGGGATCTTAGCATCACAGTCCTGGGGGGAACACACACACAATGTTGTTAAAAATTTTTTTATAGGGCCCGGCGCGGTGGCGCAAGTGGTTAAGGTCCTTGCCTTGCACGCCGGGATCCCATATGGGCGCCGGTTCTAATCCCGGCAGCCCCGCTTCCCTTCCAGCTCCCTGTCTGTGGCCTGGGAAAGCAGTCGAGGACGGCCCAAAGCTTTGGGACCCTGCACCCGTGTGGGAGACCCGGAAGAGGCTCCTGGCTTCGGATCGGCATAGTATCGGCCCGTTGCGCTACTTGGGGAGTGAATCATCGGACGGAGGATCTTCCTCTCTGTCTCTCCTCTCTGTATATCCGCCTTTCCAATGAAAAAATAATAAAAATAAATCTTTAAAAAAAAATTTTTTTTTATAAAAATTGATAGATGGAGTATTCAAGATATACAGTGAAACTGACACCTTTATCAGCATTCATACCATGGTTTAGATCTCTGCCATTCATTCATCTTACCAAATGGGGCAACTCCTGACTTCATGTTTTAATAGGTCATAAATAGAAGTGTACAAATGAAAATCAAACACGTTATGCTAGTTATTTGGGCTACTCTATTTGATTAATGCTTCCACCATCCTTGGATTGATTCTCTGGTATCTGTTTGCTAGAGCCAGTTTGATGTAGAAAGCTGTTTTGGGTGAATCTGATGATGTTTAACACAGTTTTGATAATTACTGCTTTTATATAGCAGATTTTTCAGTTTTCTCTTTAGGCTTGATTTTGCAAAACTGATCACACTGCTTTCATAATATTGACCTTGAGATTTTTTTGATGGTGATGAATTTAATTTGTGAAGGGATTGTGAACATGAGAATTTTTTTAAAGAGATGCAGAAAATTAAATGACATGGAATGGTGTAGGGAAAGTACATGTTTGTGTCTATCCATAGGATATCTTAGAGGAGATAAAAACGGTGTGCCAGTGTGTAGAACCCAGGCTTGCTGTGGACGTTCCCAGCCTGCTCTCAACACCATCTCAGGAGAAGAACCAAACTCAACTGTCCAAGGAGAGAAATGGAAAGAAAAGAAAAAGACGAGATGATGGGGAGATGGCTGGACCAATTAAAAAAGTGGCTGGTGATGGAACCAGAGCCCCCCACCAGCCGCGCTCCTGGGTCTCCCCCGCCACAGGCATTCTGGTGAGGTATGATCGTGTGAGTTCACGCTGAGCGCTTCCAGGGAGCAGTCCGTTGGCGCTGGTGGCACAACGCTGGGCATGATGGAATTTTTCCCAAGACCTTTTTGTCTTCCAGCGACTTGACGATGGAGATGAACAGGTTCCGGCTGATTGGTCCACTTTCCCATGCCGTGCTGACCGAGGCCCTGAAGGCTGCTGCTGTTCACACTGTAAGAGTTGTGGCTGTGAGGTCTTTTTTTTTTTTTCCTTTAAGATTTTTATTTCTTTTTATTGGAAAGGCAGATATACAGAGGGGAGGAAAGACTGAAAGGAAGATCTTCCATCCACTGATTCACTTCCAAAGTGACTGCAATGGCTAGAGCTGAGCTGAACTGAAGCCAGGAGCCAGGAGCTTCTTCTGGCCTCCCAAGAGGGTATAAGGGTCCCAAGGCTTTGGGCCTTCCTCGACTGCTTTCCCAGGCCACAAGCAGGGAGCTGGATGGGAAGTGGGGCCGCTGGAATGCACACTGGTGCCCATGTGGGATCCCAGGGTGTGCAAGATGATGACTCTAGCCACTAGGCCACCACATTGGTCCCGACTGTGAAGTCTTGTGTTAGTTATGGTTTTCTTGATGCATTTGTGAGTACTACATCAGTGTGTAGTTTGGCAGCCATTGTTGGGGGTGGGGGAGTGTAAGATTTTTGGTAATCACTGGCCCTGGTGAGGCATGCGCAGTCATGACTTGGAATTCAATAAATGTATGTAGCAGATCAATTTTTAGGTGGGCAGTTTTGGTACAGCATACAGATGATATAAACATCTAAATGGACTTGGCCAGAAAAAGGCTCCCCATCCCTGGTGCAGTGTAGGGAGAGGCTAGAGTAGGAATCGCACCAGGAGTTCAGATCTGTTTGTTTTCCTGCCTTCTTCTTTTTTTTTTTTTTTGAAGATTTATTTTATTTTTATTGGAAAGTCAAATATACAGACAGGAAGAGAGACAGAAAAATCTTCCATCCAATGATTCACTCCCCAAGTGAGCACAATGGCCGGTGCTATGCTGATTGAAGCTAGGATCCAGGATCCTCTTCCAGGTCTCCCATACAGGTGCAGGAACCCAAGGCTTTGGGCTGTCCTTGACTGCTTTCCCAGGCCACAAGCAGGGAGCTAGATGGGAAGCGGGACTGTCGAGATTAGAACCAGTGACCATATGGGATCCCGGTGTGTTCAAGGCGAGGACTTTAGCTGCTAGGCCACACCGCTGGGTCTGTGATTAGCTTTTCAATGCTGTGCCTGTCACAGGTTTGACACAGGCACAAAGAACTTGACAAAGTTTGTGGAAAATGGTCTAAAATTTTTTGAAAATTATATATACAAGGGATCATAAAAAATTCATGAAAAATGCATGCTATGAGAAAACCACATGTATAGGCAGTGATGTTTTAACAACGCAACCATGTTATGTTTCTGATTAGAAATTTTGCATAACCGCTCATTGTATTTGAGATGAACTCTAGAGCCCTTAACCTGGATGGCCTCGTGCCTTCTGCTGTGCCCGGTTGCCTCCTCAGAGCTTTTAGACCTTACCACATTGGCCCCTCAGGTTCTAGAATGTGTCACTTGTCATCTCCTCTGGAGTCTTGGCATTTCCTGTTGTTTCCTGCCTGCAGGCAGGCTCTGCTTGGTTTATCCTTCCTTGTTCTTCAAGGTCCAGTCTGTCGTTTCCTTCCAGGGCCCCCTCCTGATCTCCCAAGTGAAGGTATCCCTTGTGGTGTTTTCGGGACAGCCCACCTGTCTCCTCAGTCCATCCACGCAGCTGCATCTGTATCTGCAGAACATCTGCGTGAGCTTCAGACGGGCGGAGATCCTCATCTTGTGACCAGCACTCAGGGCCTGGCCCGGAAAAGGTGCTCCACAGTACTGACTGAGTTGTGGCGTGAAGACCGTGCTGGGCTTGAAGCTGAGCTCAATTCTTAATTCTGTCTGTAAAAGCATGTACCTGAAATACTTGTACGTTTCATTAGACATTTGCGGGAATACTGTGGCAGTAATAGGAAAACTTTAATAGGCTCATGGAAAAATGAAATTAAAAGATCAGTTTACTTTGGTACAAAGACTTTGGAATTTGCCTTTGGTGAGGAATATTTCATTGCTTCAACTGGAGGTAATGAAGTTGGAGATTAGGAGGGAGAAGCTCGGAGCCTGGCTTGTCCGTCTTGTGCTCACAAGAATGAGTCTGGGCCCGACGTGGTGGCTTAGCGGCCAAAGTCCTCGCCTTGAACATGCCAGGATCCCATATGGGCGCCGGTTCTAATCCCAGCAGCCCTGCTTCCTATCCAGCTTCCTGCTTCTGACCTGGGAAAGCGGTCAAGGACGGCCCAAAGCCTTGGGTTCCTGCACCTGTGTGGGAGACCTGGAAGAGCTCCTGGCTCCTGGCTCCGAATTGGCGCAGCTCCAGCTGTTGAGATCACTTGGAGAGTGAATCATCGGATAGAAGATCTTGCTCTCTGTCTCTCCTCCTCTCTGTATATCTGCTTTTCCAATAAAGATAAAGGAGAATGAGTACTTGGTGTGGGTAGTCCGGGAGAAGTCTAATGTTACAGCCTTGTTTCTAGTTGAAAAAGTAGTCTGGCATTAATTACTGTCCTAAACATGGTGGCATCTTTTCTGCTTCCTGCTGTAAAGCACTCATTCTCCCCCACAGGAAAGAGATCGCAGCCATGTCAGACTGGGTGTCTAGTCTCCTGATGCTCTAGTGAGCAGGTGTTCTTGTTTTTCAGGAGGAAGAGGGCACAGGGGAGACGCCCCACCGCTGGTGGATGGAGGCCTGTAAGAACCCTGATAGCCTGTCCCTGCATCGCAGACAAGAAGCGATTTTTGAATTATTGGGAGGTATGGGGGGTGCGGTCCCTGGGTGTCCTCAGGAGGCATGGAGCAGGGGGAGGTGACACGGAGCGCAGCTGCTGCACTGGCTGGGGTGTGTGAGCGCACAGCAAGAGAGGCAAGTCAGAGAGGGGCCGACCTCGGGGAGTGACTGTTAGTGTTTGTTTATGGAACCACAAGCAAGTGAGCTGTTAGAACAACCTTTTTAAAGCTAATGAGTTTTTTCCAAGAAGATTTTCTTTTCAAGAATGTTTGATTTATTCTGTGCAAGTACTGATTGGGGGATAAGGAGTACATGTTTTAAAATAATCCAAGAGGAGTATTTCTTTTAAAGATTTAAAAAAATTTATTTGCAACGGAGAGTTAACAAAGAAGAGATCTTCAGCTTGCTGGTTCACTTCCAAAATGACCACAGTGGCGAGGCCGAACCAGACCAAAGCCAGGAGCCAGGCCAGGTCTCCTACACGATAGAGTCCAGATGGTGGGCCGTGCTTCAGTGCTTTCCCAGGCAAAGTAGAGTAGCTGGGGTTAAACCAGAGCTTCTGGGGTGCCAGAGTCTTAGATGGTGGTTATACCTAATTATATGTATATGGCGAATTACTCTTAAGTTTGGGCTTTTGGTTCTTTTTTGCTAAAGGAGTATCATCACCAGCGGAAATTCCAGCAGGTACCATTCTGGGATTGACGATTGGGGATCCTCGAATAACTATGCCTCAGAAGAGGACCAAAGCTTTATCCAGTCCAGAAAATTGCCAAGGTAAAGTTCTTGAGCATCCCATGTTTTCCTGCTGATTCTGAGGAGTCCCATCCCACTAGATGAATTTTCTTCCTTGCTCACCTCTGTTGTAGTTTCATCTATGAACCTTCAGGGGACTCTATCTGACTTAGAAGGTGTCGGGGTCAGAGAACAGTTTGTGTGCAAGTGTCTTCCAGCTGAGTTACATGGAGCTCTGCAGTTCTCTGTTGTGTATGGGTTTTTTTTTTCCCCCCTGAGTTCAATACTTTCTAGTATCTAGTAAGACATGACTCTGAAAACTGGATTCTCTGGAAGTTGCTGGCGGTTCAGTGTTCATTGTGAGGAAGGGATCTGCACCCGCAGCTGGTCTTGTGCTCAGTGGAAGCCTCTGTCTGACCATACAGATGATCCAGGTTCGAATCCTGGCAAGGCCATCCCAGGTGCTGAAGTGTCAGTCTGGCTTGAGAGGGAACAGACAGTGGTTTGGCTGGGGTGGTATTAGGCTGGTAGGTCGGGGCTGGCTGAAATCTTCAATCTGATCTGGAATTTATAGCAGTTGTGATAATGTCTGCTTGTATTTATTCTCATTTGATTTATGGGAAGAGTCCTTATAATTACCTAGTGAATTTTTGGAGAAAAAGCACATGTGTGTACTGTCACAACTTGGGGCGCATGTGTGTGCGTGCGTATGTGTGTTTAACTTCTCTACGTGTGGCTTACTGGCTTCTTAAAAGGGCATTAAGTTAATTACCGTGAGAACTTCACATAAAAGGTGGACTGGAGGAGAGCGGAGTTTGAAGATGTACAAGTAAGTTAGTTAATTATGGAGCCCAGGACTTTAATCAGTTGTCTCTGTTTTAATGCAGTGTGATCTGGTGCAGCCCTAAAAATTGTAGCCTCTATTACACCATTAATTGTTGACTCTCCTCAATGTCTTAAAGCTGTACTTAAACTACTCAGTTTCTCTTGCTACCCCAGATCCTGTTTTGAAATGAAGCATTTATGTATTAAATCCTCTCTAAGGCTTTGTTTTAATGTGAATCATTTCAAGGAAAATTAAAGTTTGTCTTGAAAAACATGACATAACTGCTACTGTAAAAATGCGCTATCTTGTTAACTTGATATCTGATGAAAACCTGTTTCATACAACTTCTTTGAAGAAGTATTTTATTTGACACGTGAGCTACATAAAGAACTAACTTTTTAAGGGATCAATATGGAAATGATAATGACAAATTTGACATCCCAAAAGACATTTCATAACGAAGGCTAGACATGTACTTTGATTAGTCCTTGGAAGATGCTCTGTGTCCTAGTGGTCTGAGAGCTGGTTCTCTGGCATGCCTTCCGGTCTGCCTTCCTGTATGTGGCGTTCACTGCCCTGGACAGCGACTGAGGAGAAAGAGCAGAGCGCCGAAGGCATCAACAGCAGCCAGCATCTGATCTTTCCATTAGTTGAGTTTTCTCCAATGTTGTTCTCCCAATCACTTCCAACTCATTTTTTCCCCAGCCATCAGACCCACACAGGTGTGTGCATTAAGTGACCTTTCTAGCTGGGCCTTTTGAACCCTTGCCAAAACTTGTGCACGGTCTGCCTTCTTTCCCCCTTACTTCTTTCTTTCTTTCTCTTTCTCTTTTCTTCCTTCCTTGCTTCTTTCTTTCTTTCCTTTTCTTTTTTCTTTCTCCTTCCCTCTCTCCCTCCCTCTCTCTTTTTTTCTTTCTTTAAAAAAATAAGCTTTTACAAATTCTTATCCATATCCCTGTCTTCTCCACTAGAGTACTTCTAGTATCGTAAGACTTGTTTAAAGGGTTGAAGCAATCGGCTTTACAAAATATGCACACTTTAAAGAAGCGAAAAACATAATGTTTTATATAAATGAGATAAATGGTTCTATAAAAATGAGTTATCAGAGATTTGAGGTGTAGGGCATAAGAAGAGGAGTGCTGTCTGTCCTTTACCACCGTTGAGCCATGAGTGAAGGAATGCACCCTGAAGCTGATGGTTAAGATCTGGGTTGAGTTTATAATGTGCTGTGTTGCAGAGCAATTGTTTGCCTCTCCAGTGACGGCTAAGAGCTGTTGATTAAGCTGCAGTTACTTAGAAGCTGTTTAATGTTGTGATATTTACATCTTACACATGAAAAACTACCCAGGAAAACACGCCAGAGCCATTGCCGCTTGATACGCAATTAGATCAAATGTTCTAACTGCTTATGAAGTAATTTCTTCAAAGAAGTTAAGTAAATGCCTAGAAAACAATGTTTTGTAGCACAAAAGGTTTGTCTGCTAGCGGCATCTAGAGTTCTAACTTGATTTATAGAAAGGATGTGGTTTGAAGGCTGTTTCTTTTCCCTCTTAGATAATGAGAAAGTTAGACAGCTGCTCCTGGAGGGTGTGCCTGTGGAGTGTACGCATAGCTTTATCTGGGACCAAGATATCTGTAAGAGTGTCACAGAGAATAAAATCTCGGATCAGGTAACTAACAGTAACTAACAGTGTAAGGATTTCTGGGAGCGTCTTGAATGACAGGTGAAATGTCATCATTCAAGGACCACCAGAGTTGTTTCTTATGTTACAGACCCCCTCCTGCCAAGCTTCAGTTTATTCTCAAACAGCTTATTGATCCCTTATCCATTTTGCATATTGAAGTTTGTTTACTGTTCTTAGGGAAAAATGATCTCTAGAAAGAGAGTAGTTTTCAAGTCTTGTGCCATTGAGAAGTTGTCATTTTAAAGAAGATGTATTTATTTATTTGAAAGGCAGAGTCACAGAGAGAAGGGAAGACAGAGAAATAGTTTCCATTCATTGCTTTACTCCCCATTTGGCCGCCATAGCTGGTTCTTGACCAGGCTGAATCCAGGAGCCTGGAGCTCTGTCTGGATCTCCCACATGGGTGGCAGCCGTTGTCTGCTGCTTTCCCAGGCAGATAAGCAGGGAGCCAAGGCAGAAGTGGAGCGGCTGGACTTGAGCAGCAATGTGTGAGACTGGTAGCTTAGCCTGCTGCATCTCAGCACTGGCCCCAAGAAAATGTGATTAAACTGTGCCTTTTATTGCATGACAATGAATCTTAAATGTAGGGTCAGAGTACCAAAATAATAAATTAGTCTTGTTAGATAAGATTAGCAGAATTAATGTATTACCATTGGTACGCTAGGGAACTTCAAAAAGCTCATGGAAAAATATGTTTATTCTAACTTGAAAATTTCTTGAAACCCATGGATCTTTTTGTCATAATATGTATTTTTCATGAATTTTTGACAACCTCCTTGTGTGCATCAATTTAAATTTTTTGGGCACTAAAAAAATTCATTTTTCCATGACTTTTGTGAAGTACAGTGTACATCTGTATTCTAAGAATACTGTGTGCTTAAATGACTAATGTATATTCAGAATGTTCTAGAGGAACATTTAATTAACTTTCTGAAGCTGAATGTAGAGGAGGTTGAGTAAAGTCTCCCAGAAGACTAGGGTTGTTTGTCTTGAATTATTTTCTTCCACTTTAGGATCTAAACCGGATGAGAAGTGAATTGCTGGTGCCTGGGTCACAGCTGGTTTTAGGTCCCTGGGAATCCAAGATCCCTATACTGTTGATACAGCAGCCAGGAAAAGTGACTGGTGAAGACCGGCTGGGCTGGGGAAGCGGCTGGGATGTCCTGTCCCCCAAGGGCTGGGGCATGGCTTTCTGGATCCCATTCGTAAGTTCCTGTTTATGACTCACGGTTGCAGCATTGACAACACATCGCCAGTGAAAACCTTCCAGATGATGTACACAGCTTAGAAATCGAGCGGGACGTGTCTGCCCTTAGGGCTATAGTCCTAGCTGCAGGTTATCGTGAATAAACTGGGCTGGATACTGTGGATTTGGGATGCATGAACATGAAACCTGCTCTCTAATTCAAAAGCAGACAACTTAATATTTGTAGATGTAAGCCATATAATGTTTTTGTTTTTAAAATGTTTATTTAACCATTTGCTCCTGTCTTAATCAACTGCAGGTAAATTTTTTATGAAAATTTTTTTTCTAGTTTAAATGTTACTTTGGTAAGAGGCATATTAGACTGTTAGATTCAAGTGGGTTAATAAGTTTTAGCAATTATGCCTCATGCAAGTGACGTTCAGTAATCATTTAGGATGGGAATATTTTCAAGTGATCCTACTTAACTTTTTATTATGAAATGTTTGAAGCATTAAGAAAGAAAGAAATAGTGATATAATGAATACCCATGCAGCTTTACCTGCCCTCTGGCTTAAGAAATGAGATATCATAGATTTGTTAAAAGTACCCCAAGTTCCTCTCCCAACTCATTTCCCTCCCTGCTAAGATAATTATTCTGATTTCGGTGTTTGTCATGACTGTATGTGTTGTTACAACCTTATTAACTGCATGTTACAATAAAAGAAATGTATTTGACATGTTTTTAAACTACAAGGTGTCCTTAAAAGTTCATGCAAAATGTGTTAATGAAAAACTGCATGGATTTCGAAACCAATTTTTTATCAGAATAGCCTTAATTTTTACTTTCTTAAAATTTTTTTTTCTTTTTATTTCATTTTATGACACAGTTTCATAGGCTCTGGGATTCCCCCAACCCCTCTCCATGCCTTCCCCACATGTTAATTTTTATTTTTCCATAAACTTTTTGAGGTAACTGCATCTACTCCATGTATAAAATAAGCATTTACAATTCGCTGCATTTACTTGGCATTAGGATCTTTCCATGTTAGTTGGTGACTCTTGTTTTTAATATATGGGAATCTGATGATGAATTATTCTACAGTGTTCGACCCTTCTCTTGCTGAGCATTCGTTTCCCATTTTCCGCATACCAGTCAAGCAGTTTGACCTGAGGTTGGTGAATGGACAGGATTTCTGGGCGTTTCTTTTAGATCTACCGAGGTGCAAGAGTTGGAGGATTGAAAGAGGCTGCAGTCCATTGTCAGTACCAAAGGGCGCCCGCCATCCCCGGTGACTACCCAGACTCCCCTGCTGGGGTCCTCTTTGCTGAAGAGCAAGCCAAGAATCTTCTGGAGAAGTACAAAAGGTACGGTACTGGCTTCTCTTTTGACACGACTTAAGGAAAAGGAAAGTATCTCTTACTGTATCATGTGGACCTACAGGCTTTCTCTTGAATATGGCCTTACTGAGAAGTAATTAAGATGATATTACTGCAGTCAGGGAATTATCTTACATTATGTTTGTCTGTTTCATAGGCCCATCCGGGTTACAAACTTCTCTCGTGGTTATTTGTGGGTTTCTTTTTTTTATTCATTTGTTTTTTTCTTTTACATTTTGAGGTTTTTTTAAATAAAAATTTATTTTATTTGAATTGGAAAGTTAGATATATAAATATGAGAGTAGGAAAGACAGAGATAAAGATCTTCTGTCTGTTGATTCACCCAAGCGGCCGCAACTACTGGATTTGTGCCGATACTAAGCCAGGAGCCCGGAGCCTGTTTTGGTTCTCCCACGTGGGTAGAGGAGCTTTGGGCTCTCCTCAACTGCTTTCCCAGGTCACAGAGAGCTGGATAGGAAGTGGGGCTGCAGGGGATTAGAACAGGTGCCCATGTGGGATCCTGGTGCATGTAAGGTGAGGACTTCAGCTGGCTACCATGCTAGGCTCTAAATTTTGAGTTTTATGGTACAATTCAATAGGGTCTGGGATTTCCCTACCTCTCCCCAAATTTTCACGCCCCAACTGATTTTCCCCATGTTATTACAGTAGTATAGTGCTTCATAAGCAGTCATAAGTCTATCAGTCTGTTATTTAAGTGTACCCTGACATTGCTGATACAGACAATGTCAGACGCTCCAGCATCCCATTGTCTAGACATGTCTAACAGTTTCATTGAGTCTCTTGGTTATTTGTTTACATTGATTATGAAGAGTGTACCAAAACCCTGGACAGTGTCAGGTGCTGGTTAATAGATCCACGCTATTAAACATCCCCCACCCTTCCAAATGCAAAATGTGTTTTAAAAAATCCGATTGTAGAAATAATGGAAAGCTGTAAGATGTTAATGAGATTTGGAAGTACTAGTGTAGTCCTGCCATCTAGAGACAAGCATAATTTTTATGTTTCAGTATGTATCCATCTAGACCTTTCTTGTTTCCACCGGAGGTGGGCCAGTAAGTGGCTTTATTTCCTTTTGATTGTGGGCTGTGTACCATCCTGGGGAGCCTGCATTTTCTACTAAATAGTTGGTAGGGTCCTGGAAGCACGAACTTACTCGTTTTCTCTTGTTTCTTATGGTATCTGCAGGGTCAAGCCTGTGCCTTGTGCTCAGTAGTCCTTAATACCTTTTATTTGTTGCCTTTGAAACTAATGTATAGGGCCCGGTGCAGTGGCTTAGTGGCTAAGTCCTAGCCTCGCACGCTCTGGGATCCCATATGGCTGCTGGTTCTAATCCCAGCAGCCCTGCTTCCCATCCAGCTCCCTGCCTGTGGCCTGGGAAAACAGTCGAGGACAGCCCAAAGCCTTGGGACACTGCACCCGCGTGGGAGACCTGGAAGAGGCTCCTGGCTCCCGGCTTTGGATCAGCTCAACTTCAGCCATTGCAGCCGCTTGGGGAATGAAGATCTTCCTCTCTTTTCCTCTCTGTGTATCTGACTTCGCAATAAAAACAAAATAAATCTTAAAAAAAAAAAGAAGAAATGAATGAATAATTGAATGTTAAGTGTGAGCTCCTTGAGGGCAAAGTCATGTTTTCCTGCTTACTGCTGCAGTTAGAGACAGGCACGCCTGGCTTGCAGACCGCTTGCCGAGTGATGGACGTCTGTGAATGTGTGAATGGATGGTGATGCAGTCTACTGCCTTACCAGCTCTTTGAGGGCAGGACGTGTGTCGGGTGTCCTTGTGTCCCCTGGAATGGAGTCAAGAGTCTTCTATGTGTTTCTTAAATAATATTTGACAATAATCCCTCTCACCATTGAGATTTTCCCAAGATTGTACTTTGCCGTTTTGAAAGCCATGTTTTTCATTTAGCAATATATTATGGATAGTCTTCCTGTATCAGTAAATATGACTCTGAACCAAGTGTTAAAACTTTGTTGGTGAAGGGGCCAGATAATACGTATTTTTGGTTTTGTGGACTCCTTGGTCTCCATGGCAACTACTCAGCTCCGCTGTTGTGACATGAAAGCAACCACAAATGACAGCAACAAATGAGTATGGCTGTGTTCCAGTCACACTTTATTTATGGACGCTCAAGTTTGAATTCCATATAATTTTCATGTGTCATGAAAGATTATCCTTTGGTTTTTCTCAGTCATTTAAAAATGTAAAAGCTATTCTTAGCTTGTGGGTTGTGCAAAGACATAACAGGCCAGATTTGGTGTGTGAGTCATAGCCTGCCAGCTCTTGCCCAGAGTAGAACTTGAAGCGGTTGCATAGGATTGCAGTGTTGGACGTATTCGTGTTAATTGGTGGGCTTTTAGGTTATTTCCAGTGTTTGGCTCTATGCTTCTGTGAACATCTTTCTAGGTACATCTTTCCCTGTTTGTCTGATTTCTTCATTTCTCCAACCCACATTTATTTAGATCATACTGTGTGTCCAGCACTGCTTTTGGGACTACATTGGGACTGAGGTACCTGCCCTCGTGGACTTTCTGTTGCAGGGCTGATGTGGATGATTGAGGAAAGGAGAAGGAGGCTGAAATGTAAGAGCAGAGCTCTTGAATAGGGAGGACGGGGTGGGCTCTGCTGTGAAACAGAGTGGCATCGGCTGGGACTGGGTTCTGCTTTGCATTTGGTAAGCTAGAAGATGGACTGAAGTGGGCACGTGGATTTAGGTGAGTTGGGTGGTGCTGGGGAGGTTGGTTAGCACTCTCCTAAGGGTGGTTGTCTCTGTGAGCAGTAGGCCATGTGGGCAGCTAGGGTCAAGAGGAGAGAGTCTGATGGGGATTTAAGGAATGGTTACCATCAGTTTTCTGGGAGAGTGGCAGATTAAATTGACTGGAGAAGTCTAAAAGATGTCTGAGAGAGGAGCGTCCACTGGAGTTTTGTGTTTGTAAAGTTAGACTGTCCAGGACTCCTGTGTGTGGTTCCCCTTCCCCAGCTGTGTGCTCACAGCTGCTGGCACAGCGTGCCCAAGAGTTGGAATGGGCTTTGCCAGGTGGAAGGGAGTTGAGGGTGTGAGTGAGGGATGGCTGTTAATGTGAACTGTGGACTCTGAGCTGAAAGAGAGGAGAGGTGGCAGAGTGAGGACATGGTGGTATAAATGAATAGGGGACTCCAGTGGTTGAGGAGTTAGAGTGGGTGAGTGAGTGGAGGTAGCCTCTGAGACCAAGGTGGAGCAGGTGTTAGCAGTATCCAAACCTGAGGTCTGACTGGAAGAGTGGATGCCTGAGATGAAGAAAAAATGTGAAGTACTGGTAGATGAGGGTATTTGAAAGGTGATCAATGTGGATGCTGAGGCCACCAGGAAAGAGAAGAAGGGCTGTGATAGGGCAAGGAGAGGCAGTGAGGCAGGTGAATGGGGACCTGGGAAGCTGATAGAAGATGGGTGATATCCTGTGTTTCTGGGACACTGGGGTCTTTAGGAGGAAGAAGGAAGGGTTTGGGCATATCAGGAGGCCAGCTCCCCAACCCTAGACCCTTGGCCTGTATGTCATTCAGCTTATTTTGGTTATTATACTGAAATACCTAAGATAGACTAATTATGAAGTGGCTGTTTCAACTCACTATTCTGAAAGTTCCCAGTCCAAGGCTGGGTGACTAAATGAGTTCACCATCTGATGGTGGAATTCTTGCTGGCAGAGTTCCCAAGACAGTATAGGTGATGACCTGGTGAGCAGGGAGCAGAGAGCAGCTAGGCCTGACTCAAGCACTTGTAGCCACCCTCTCTCTAGAACTACCTGCCTCCTAACCAGTGCCCTGTGGATCGCCCACTCACTGCTCCCACCATACTTGGATTAAACCCTCACCCTGTGGTACTGTTAATGCATGAGCCTTTGCACCGTAGCAGAGGGTGGAGAAAGACACAGTCAGCACTGGTGAGGAGCCGAAGGGGCGAGGAAGGACAGATGCTGGCGGATCCCCGGAAAGTGAAAAAAGCCAGAACGCATGGTCTGTTTTCAGTAGACCACTACCCCATCAGTGCATTTCACCCACAGCTTTGGGAGTGCCTGTCTTCTCAAACGTACCCACATAGCATACTGCCATTCTTTTCATGTTGACTGAGCTGGTAAGAAGAGCATGTGTCTGTTGATACTTGGTTACTAGTGAGCTTGAATATTTGTCACCGTGTTGTTTGTGTGTGTGTGTGTGTGTGTAAATTGCCCACTTGTTTCTTTTTTAAAGTTTCATTTATTTTTGTTGGAAAGGCATATTTATAGAGAGAAAGGAAAACAGAGAAATCTTCATCTGCTGGTTCACTCCCCAAATGGCTGCAATTGCTGAAGCTGGGCCAGCCCAAAGCAGGGAGCCAGGAGCTTCTGCCAGGTCTCCCACATGGATGCAGGGTCCCAAGGGCTTGAACCATCTCCTGGTGCTTTCCCAGACTGTAAACGGGGAGCTGGATTGAAAGTAGAGCAGCTAGGACTCAAAAGGATGTCCACTAGGGAGAAGCTGGCATGCAAATGGATGTGGGCGCCACTGACAGAGGCTTAACCCACTAAGCCATGATTCTGGCCCCTTTCATTTATTTCTTTTGCTTCTTTTTCTCTTTGTGTTTGCCTGCCTATGTATTGATTGTAAGTTTCTGGCTACTGGCTTTGATGCTGGTCCAACCTCTTGGCTGTGTTATCCTTATGGACAGTGACCATTGAAAGGATCTCGCTGTGAGTGTGTGTGTGAGAGAGAGAGAGAGAGAAAAGGGGGGGCTGTGAATATGTTTCTTTTCTATTTTTTTTTAAGATTTATTTATTTTTTATTTGAAAGGCAGATATAACAGAGAGGAGGAGAGACAGAGGAAGATCTTCTGTCTGATGGTTTACTCCCCAAGTGACTGTAGTGGCTGGTGCTGCACCAATCTGAAGCCAGGAGCCAGGAGCTCTTCTGGGTCTCCCACACGGGTGGCGGGTTCCAAGGCTTTGGGCTGTCCTTGACTGCTTTCCCAGGCCACAAGCAGGGAGGTGGATGGGAAGCAGGGCTTCTGGGATTAGAACCAGCACCTATATGGGATCCTGGTGTGTTCAAGGCGAGGACTTTAGCCACTAGGCCACCGTGCTGGGCTGGAAAATGTTTCTTTTTAAAGTGAGAGAAAATACCCTAACCTCCCCCCGCCCCCCGCAAAAAAAACTGAGAGAGAATGTGATGTCACTTTGAGCCCAACATTGTCAGTGTAGAGGGACATTGTATATTCCTCGGGCACCGCTGACTTACACCTCTCAGGCCTGGTGTTTGCTTGGCTAAAATTTTTTTTAATTGTATAAATTTGTGTTTGATGCTTTTTACATATTTGATTAAGGTGCGAAAGGTCAAGGGCTAGAGGAAAGTGAGTGAGACTGTTGTTTTGACATTCTTTCCTTCCTGTATCCTGTATGAGGGGAAGAGAGACTGGGAGAAGCCACATCCAGCCTTCCAACCATCCCAGGGTCCCTGATGTGGGGCACACTCCGAGGGCACTGCTCAAGTGTTTTGATAGTTCACCAGTTCTGTATTGCTGCTGGTCTTGCCAGTCCAGTCACCATGAACTCTCCCAAATCCACTGGCTGACGTAGTCCACCTTAGAATCTCTGTTTGCCCAGGTATTCACTGCCAACTCTTTGCTGGGCTAGTTGACTGATTTGTTCTGTCCTCTGTCCTCTGATATGGTACCAGCTGTCCTCTGCAGGCTCCAGTGAACTGCATATCCTCCGTGTGCATCTGGATATGCTGTCCACTGCTCTGTGGAAGCCACGAAGGAGTTGGGCGAAATTGTTTGAAGCCACATGGAGCTACCACTCTGTGGAAGGGTCATCTGGCAAGCATGGAGGACAGCATAAGAGCTGGATCAGTAGAGCTTTGTGTACCTCATCCTAATTTCTTGGAAAGGGGTGTGTGTGTGTGTGTGTGTGTGTGCACGCACGTGTGAGCACACATGTGCATGCACATGAGTGCATTATAAACAAAAGATGCATTATGGTGGCCATGATCATTATAACTGTCTACTCTTGCAAAACAGGTTTTTCTCTATGTTTTTCCTTAGACGCCCTCCTGCCAAACGGCCCAACTACGTTAAGCTGGGTACCCTGGCCCCTTTCTGCTGTCCCTGGGAACAGCTGGCTCGAGACTGGGAGTCAAGAATCTGCACTCAGGATGAATCGTGGATCAGTTGGTCTCCAGATGGCCAGGAGAGCACCTCACTGGGCCGTGATGTGGTGTGTGCTGCTGCCGAGTCTGAGCGAGCTTCTCCACCACCTGGGGTGCCGGAGGAAATGATGCTGACAGAGTGTCAGGCCCACTCGGGGCCCAGGAGGACCGGGGACCCTGCTCTCAGTGCGGTCTGCATCGCTGCCTCTGGCACTCAGCTTTGTGTCCTTAGGTAAGTGCAGGCCACCTCCAAACACATTTTTGGGTCATTGATTTTAGTACGGAGCAAGCAGCGCCAGGACAGCCATGTTCTCCCCGGTACTCCTGTGAGCCTGTGGACCTCCTGGAAGGGCAAGTCCAGGGAAGCAGGTGGCCAGTCTCTGACATGGGGGCAGGTGATGCCAGGTGAAGCGGGGCCAGATCCTAGGCATCCCCCTTTTTTTAGTCTCTGCTTACTAAGGGACCTTGGCAAGTGCCCTGGGCACTGAAGCACCAGATTGGATAACTTCTGTGCCAGCTCAGCGACCCCAGCCCCCAGACCACCGGGTGGAGGGGTGCTGCTCTCAGGCGTGCTGGGGGCTGCTCTGCTCTGCCACCACCCTGGATTCTGTGCCCCAGGGGGTCATTTTTTTTTAAGGTTAATTTTTTTTTAATTTGAAAGGCAGATATGCAGAGAGAGATCTTCCATCTGCTGGTTTATCCCTCAGTTGGCCAAAATACCAGGTCTAGGCCAGGCTGAAGCCAGGAGCCAGGAGCTTCCTCTAAGTCTAGCTCATGGGTACACAGGCCCCCAAGCACCTGGGCCATCTTCTGCTTTCCCAAGTGCTGCCAGAACATGAACTGGTGCTTGCATGGGATGCTGCGTAATTAGGCAGCAACTTAACTGGCTATGCCACAATGTCAACCCCAAACCTCGAGTTGCACTCATCCTTTTTTTTTTTAAGATTTATTTATTTTTTTATTTGAAGGGCAGATATAACAGAGAGGAAGATCTTCCATCCAATGGTTCACTCCCCAAGTGACCACCATGGCCAGAGCTGAGCCAATCTGAAGCCAGGAGCCAGGAGCTCTTCCAGGTCTCCCATGCAGGTGCAGGGTCCCAAGACTTTGGGCCATCATCAACTGCTTTCCCAGGCCACAAGCAGGCAGGTGGATGGGAAGCAGGGCCACTGAGATTAGAACCGGCAACCATATGGGATCTTGGTGCATGCAAGGCGAGAACTTTAACCACTATGCTATCGTGCTGGGCCCAAAGCACTCATCCTTCTTACGTTTCTGAACAATCACCTCCTAGAGTCATATCCTTCTGCCCTGAGTTTCTGCTCCCTGAATCATTCGCTCCTTTTGTTCCTGTTCTGCTGTGCTGGCAGCCCTAAGGCCTGTCCCCATATCTTCCTTTTCTGAGCCTGCAGTGTCTTCATTCCTTAGTCCTTTAGTTTCAGGATAGTGGCCAAATTAACAGTCATTACATAAATGTATTAGTATACATTTTTGATTTTTGAAACAATTGTAAGACGCGGCATTGTGGCGAGCTAGCTAATCCTCTGCTGTGGTGCTGGCATCCCTTGTGGGCACTGGTTCAAGTTCTTGCTGCTCCACTTCTGATCCAGCTCCTTGCTAATGCACCTGGGAAGGCAGCAGAGAGTGGCTCAAAGCCTTGGAGCCTTGCATCCACATAGGAGACTTGCAAGAAGCTCTGGGCTCCCAGCTTTGGACCAGCCCAGCGCTGACCGATGCGGCCGTTTGGAGAGCGAACCAGCAGATGGAAGATCTCTCTATCTCTTACTCCCTCTTTCTGTAGCTCTGACTGTCAAGTAAAATAAATCTATAAGATCATAGTTCTGATGCTTTCCCATGTACAATAGAAAAACTAGTCAACACTAGCATTGTCTCATTTTCTAATGACAGATTTTTTTTTTTCTTATGTGGCTTTAACTTTTTTTTTTGTCTTTGACTTTCATGTAGGAGTAGAAAATTACTAAAGCAGCTCTCGGCCTGGTGCAGGCCCGGTTCTGAGGACGGCCGGGCATCCCAGCGGGCTCATGGGAGATGCCAGGAGAAGCTGACAAGGGAGGCCTGCCTGTCCATTTTGGCCCGTTTCCCCAGGGCCTTGGTGTGGGTGAGCTTGGCCCTGCTCCGGAAGGGCAGCCCTGAGCCACACAGCATGGTCTGTGTCCCAGCTCGGGAGGATTTGCTGCAGCTCCATCAGGATCGCCACTACTGCGGGCCCCAGGAACCCAAGCACAGCGACCCGTTCAGAAGCAAGAACCTGAAGCGTCAACAGAGGAAGCACGGGGGACAGGCCACGGCCGTGGACCTGGCTGCAGGGGAGCCTGTGACCGAGCCGAAAGCCCCAACCCGGGGGTTGTGGTCAGGCCCTCTCCCAGCAGTGACTGCACACTGCTCCAGGCCTCTCTTGGGCTTTGTCACGCAGGGAGATTTCTCCATGGCCGTGGGCTGTGGGGAGGCCCTGGGGTTCATCAGCTTGACGGGCTTGTTGCACATGCTGACCTGCCAGCCGGCAGCCCAGCGGGGCCTGGTGCTGTTGAGGCCCCCCGCCTCCCCGCAGTACCGGTTTGCACACATTGCCATTGAGGTCTGAAGGTGGGGTCCCAGGCCAGCAAGGAGTAGATGGTAACTTTGGCTAAGTCCCATTGGAGATTCCAGCTTTCTCCATCCTCTGTTTGGGGGAAAGAAATCATGTGAAGTGTCTTGGAAACATGACTTAAATTGATGTATTATGCAAAGGACAAAACGCTTAGTCAGTCCCAGTAATCTCATGGGTGTGCAGCTCTGCTTGTCTTTGTTCACATGCTGTGGAGTTACTGGGCATGCTTGACCAAAAGCCCTTGTGTTCTCATTTCTTCATCTGTGTGATCCTCATGGAAAGTCACTAGCACCCTGTCTTTCTTGGTCTCCTTTGATTTGTTAGGAACAAAGGGCTGTCGGTCTTTTCAAAAAACCTTGTTGGTCATGTGATCCGCAGTAGTAACTGTTTAAGGATTGGATTGTTCCAGAACAGGAGACTGTAGTCATCAGGAGTGTGCCCACATGCTGTGGGCCACGCTCCGTCCTCTCCTGCAGTGGGCAGGCTCAGAACCTTTGTCCAGTTCCCAGGTAGGCTTACTCATGGTGCAAGTGGGACCCTTCAACCTTCTAACATTGACAAACATATAATCCTAGGATTTCCCCAGTTGTTCAAACTGCTACATTAATATTGATTTTTTTGGGGTGGGGGGGAGAGCTAAGTTCAACAAAGCTAAACATTTGCTTCTGAAAGGACTTCTGGAACCTTCTATGTAATCATGTGCATTATAGATAATGGTGCACACTGTTTTCTAAATCATCTTGGTCGCCGCAGAGGATCTCGGCGTTGGTTGTCAGGAGCCCGTAGTGGGCAGTGTGGCTGTGCAGCCCCATGGCTACCTCCTCAAGGCGACAACCAGAACCACCAGCTGCTTTTCAGCACCAGTGCAATCCCATTGGCCACTGGGAGCCTGAGCAGGATATAAAAGAGGGCTCCTCCTGTTACTTGGGAGTAAGTGGGCTTGTTGGTTCCCCTCCCCCTGTGGTAAATTCAGTGGCTCTTCAACTTTCTGTGGCCACATACAAAGGTACTTCAAGCTATTCACAGGGAAATGAAATTAAAAGAAGTTCATTGAGTGCAAACATGTCTTTGAAGTCTGTTTTTTTCATCATATGCCTTCCCCTTGAACTTGTTAAGACTCCTCATTGTCTGCCTCGCACCTTTGGTCTCTTGCCTGACATACACCTGCAGCAGTATCTGAGTGCTCTAAGTGTGCAGTTAAGCATTACTTCATGTGAACATCTGGGCAGGAGGGGGATGGCTTGCAGTAGCATTTGGGAGAAAAAGTCCGTGAGGGTGTCAAGTTGTGGAAGGATGGAACCACACTTGGGGTTGGCAAAAAGTGCTCCAGGCCAATAACATGGCTGGCTTCCCTTCTCTATGCCACTGGATGTCTTGGAGTCCAACCCAAATGAGATGCTGTAAGTAGAATCGAGCTGTGACCCGATTAACTGGCTTACCCTCGTTTATTTTCTGGGCTGTAAGGCCTTTTATCTCAGTTCAGCTTGCTCAGTGATGAAGTCCCAGCGGCTTGTGTAGTATCGTCGCTTTACTTGGTCCAGCACTCATCTGGGCCTGGCTGTCCTGCCTTCCTTACAGGGCACAGGGCACACTGGCCATTACTCTGGCTTGTGATTTGGACACACCGGCTAGCCAGCCCTGGCCTCCCTTATGGGCACTGGTTCAGGTGCCGGCTGCTCCACTTCCTGTCCAGTTGCTAATACGTTTGGGAAAGCAAGTGCTTGGGCCTCTGCATCCATGTGGGAGACTGGGCGAATCCCTGGGCTCCTGGCTGCAGCCTGGCTCAGCCCTGGCTGTTGTGGCCATGTGGGGAGTGATCCAGTGGAGGAACTCTGTGTATATATCTACGCTGTGTAACTCTGCTTTTCAAAACTAAGGAGGCCAGTATTTCCCACAACATCCTCCTGGGAGCACCAGACCTGGAGGAGTTTCATGAGAAAGGAGTCGCAGTGGCTAAATGTAAAGCTGGGAAAGCTGTATCCAGCCACCTCCAGGGCTGACTGTTTCAGACTGTCCCCACTACACCTCTAGATTGGATTTGTTCTTGTTTTGCATTTCCCAGAGGATTGGAATACTCGTGGGGAATGTACTTTGGGAAAGTGTCCCTTTACCTCCTTGCAACTTCACAGGAAAGAGTCCATGCGCCTTACGAGGAAGACTGGTGGGCTGTATCTGTCGCAGCTGTCCGAGTTTATTTTGATCCTGTTGGTGTGTCACACACAATGCTGCAGAGCCTCCAAATAAGCCCAGGCTGGACCCTGTCCTGGCAGAGAGGGGGACACCTCGGAAGTCCACCGAGTCAGGAAGTGTCCCGGGAGGCAACACCGAGCTGTATACACTCAGAGACCACTTTCACGCATGGCTTGCAGAAGCAGGATGATTTCTTCCCCCTGTATTTATGCTTTGCTTTGGTTCTTAAAATCGTACTGTCACTGCAACCATATTCATAGAAAAAGTCGAAAATGCAGACCAGCAAGCGCAACACAAATCACCTGGGTTTTGTTTCCTGCTACTTTTCTGGTACATTCTCTTGTAGGTACTCAAATGCGTGTCTTTGGGAGGGGACAGAGAATGGGCTGGTGTCAGTTTTAAGAAAAAGCTCCCGAGAGCCCAGTGGGTTAAGCTGCTGCTTGTCACATCAGATCCCATATCAGTGCACTGGTTCCAGTCCTGACTGCTCTGCTTCTGATCCACTCCCTGCTAATGTGCATGAGAAAGTGGTGGAGGATGGCCCAAGCGCTGGGGGCCCTACACCCATGCAGGAGACCCGAATGGAGTTCCAGGGTCCTGATTTCAGCCCGGCCCCTTCTTGGCTATTCGAACCATTTGGGGAGTGAACTAGCGAATGGAAGTTTCTCTGTCTCCCTGTCTGCTTGCCATTCTCTTTTCAAATACATCCTTTAAAAGAAACTACACCATTAACTGCTTCTATAAAGACTTGTATGGGATAGGAGCAGCTTCAGTGCCTATTGCCATGTCCTTGTGGAGCTCAATGAGCAAGTATGCTCATGATGAGTCTTAGATATAGGAAGTGAGGAGCTGGAAGCTCACCCCTGCTAGATGTAGCATTGCTCTCTAGGCTTCCACCTGCCTGGGATGAATTCCCAGGCAGCATGCCGTGAGGGACAGTCAACAGGCTGTAGGGAGTCTGGGAGGGTCTGAACTGGTCTACCCGTAGCCAAGCTATCTAAGGAGTGGGGAGCATGGAGCTAGTTCTGGGTGCAGGCTGCTTAACAGAAAAAAACAAAAAACCAACCAACCAGCCAAACAAACCAAACCAAACAAAACAAAAACAAGAGCCAGAGTGATTGCAGGTCAGCTGGTTGCACCAGACGGGGTCCTGCAGGTGTACCCAGAACAGACATGATTGCAAGGCCTGCCTTTGGCAGCAGGGGCATTGAGTCTAGGCTGCACATTAGAATCACTTGTTAGCCTAAGCATCATTTCAGAGATCAGTCACCCTGGGCTTGGTCCAAACATTGGTATTTCTTAAACACTCCCTGAGCCCTTGTGGGGTGAGGCTCTGGCTGAGAACCTGCCCCAAGAGGGCTGGTTCCCTGGGCCTTTGCAGCCTGGAATGAGCAACCAGGCAGTGCAAACCTTACAATGGTGCTGCCTTCAGCAGACTTGCTTGCCAGTATGAAATGATGTATTTTTGTGGCATCTGCTGTTCACAGTGTCTGGTGTGGTGTAACATCCAGATGGGAAGTTAATGAGAGCGCTGTGGGAAGTGAGGGCTGGGTGGATAGGGTGCTCCCCTGGAAAGAGAAAGAAAGCAGCCTGGCTCATCACTGGCCTGTCACTACTGGAGAGTGTCCAGTGAGGACTTCGTTGGGTTCACCTTTGGCGAGGGCCCGTCCAGATCAGCTGGTCTTAACCTTGGCCACATGTTGAAATCACCTGGGGAACTCTCTCAGGACAGAGGTTCAGGACCCACCTCTGCCTGCCCAGGAAGGTCACGGCTGTGGTTTGAATATGGGGCTTTAGGGCTCCTGGCTGATTTGCTTCCAAGGTAAAAAACCATAGTTTCAGACTTTCAAAATGAGGCCATCCTGAGCAGGCAACACAAACTACTAACCGAGGGCCCTGGTTGGTGCCCTGTAGGAAGTGAGCAGCACCAAGTTCATGTCAAAAGAACTCACCCTCACCTGGTACGGTTCTGGAAGGAGTCACCCTCCCCATCTGTGTGCTTTCCTTTAAAAGGTTTACAAACTTCAGCCTCATCACAACCCCCAGGGCCCATTCACTTTGTGTTAACACTCTGGTCTTTCCATTTCTTGAACAGCCATGCTGTTCTAAAACACCGTGTTTAATACTTCTTTTTTTAATTTGATGTATTCAAAGGTGTTTTAAAACTGATGGTGTAGGCAAAACATATATTGTAATTGACAAATGAACCACTAGATGGTGCCAAGACCACAATGAATCTTCCTTCCGGCAGGAAAACAACCTCAGAGCCGAAACTTTTTGGATTGGTCACACACTGGTTAATGATTTCCCCTGTAGGGATAGATCCACACCACCAAAATGCTAGTTTGAAAAGGAGTCATGAGTTTAAAGCATCAAGAGAACAAACAACTTTAAAAGCTTTTATACTGGGGCTACCCTGTGGTGCTAGCATCCCATAAGGGCCTTCGTGTCCCAGCTGCTCCACTTGGAATCCAGCTCCCTCCTTGTGGCCTGGGAAGGTAACAGAGGACCCTGCACCCATGTGAGAGATCCGGAAAGAGGCTCCTGAGTTTAAATCAGCTGATCTCTGCACCGTTGTGATCGTTTGGGGAGTGAACCAGCAGATGGAAGATATTCTCTCTCTCTCTCAAATCTGCCTTTCAGGTAAAAATAAATCTTTTTATTATGCTTTTTTGTCAATGAGTCCCATCCACATTTTCTCCACTACGTCTGCTCCCCTTCACATCATAAGCTTAATCCCATCAAAGACAGGGAGAAGCAGCTGCATCCTGGCAGGCACAGGCGTGGGAGACTTGCCCCCTTAGTGCCAGTCCAGTCTCGTCCCCCTAGACCTCCACATCAGCCAACCTTGAGACTCACCCCTTTTATTCTTACCAACTCAGTGGTGCACCTGCTTGCTCCCCTTTCGCTGGGCTACGCAACCTTATTTCTTTAGCTTTCCTTCTCTTGTTTCCAACATCTGACAGAACACCTCAAATCATCTTTTGGCCAAGACGTAATTTGTTCTCTGAACTGGGCAGCACAGCTGTGTGAGCTGCAGATGGGCAGCCGAGTAGGGGCTGCTGGCTTCGGAGGGAGATCTGGGTCATTCCGGGCCGCTTCCTTCCTTGCTTCGCAGGAGTTAGCCAGTACTGCCTGGGGGTACGTATTCTTTTGGTTTTTCCTTAAAAGCCTGGCCTGAGATGCCTGACACACAGGTAGTTTATTTTAGGAAATGACCTAAGTGAACAGGAGCATGGAGGCTGGGAGGAGTGAACCCCTGAGGTAGCAAAACCCGATCCAAGTGTGTGTGTTAGAAGCTGGTTACCCAGGGGGCACCTGGGGTTCTTTCCCCACCTCCTTCTCTTCCATCCTACACACTCAGAGGAACTGAGTGCACCTGCGCAGTGTCTCCAGGAGGCCCAGAAGACAGAAACCTGCGCTCCTTCCTTTGGGCTGAGGGCTGCCACCCTAGGCAGTGTTGATTTTGTAGGTACTGCAATGACTGAGCTTGCTCAGTGCTAACAAGCCTCCCAGGACACAGACAGGCAGCTGAGGCAAGGTGTGCCCAGCAAGTTGCTGTAGCCCAGAGCGGGGCCAGGAAAGTAAGCCAGGAAAATGGGAGACAGGCTTGAAGATGGCCAGCGCAGATAAGGCCCTATGGTGGCAAGAGACTGTGTCCTTGCAGAGTCAAGGGGGATATGTGTGTGTGTGTCTGTACTTGCATGCAAGCCACGAAGAGGCCGGTGGAGTGCCTTGGAACCAGCAGCAGAAGATGGCATGTAAGCTCAGAACTGTTCTTGGGAAAGTGTGGAATGCTTACCATCCGGCTGCCCAGCAGCCTTGCCGCCCTGGGACCTGTAGGGAGTTTTGGCCATTTC